CTCTCTCTCTCTCTCTCTCTCTCTCTCTCTCTCTCTCTCTCTCCCCCTTGTTGTGTAATCCTCCCACGCTCTGCTGATCACCGTGCACTGTGGTCTGCTTGGCTGTCCTGATGTGTCGATTTCACGTGGAATACGTAGTCCAGGCTGGCACAACCCCAGGATGGCTGGAAACCTTCCAGAAAAGCAACGAGACGCTCGAGAAGATCCAGAAGAATCTTGAGGACTATTTGGAGACTAAGCGAATCGCCTTTCCTCGTTTTTACTTCTTATCTAACGACGAGCTGCTTGAAATCCTGGCGCAAACAAGAAATGTGCAAGCCGTCCAGCCTCACATGTCCAAGTGCTTTGGTAAAACTCATTTTGCTAACAAACACTATATACACTTGTGCTATTCTGTACCTCATTATTTGGAGACTATGTACTGTATGCAGACTATTCGTGCTATTCTGTACCTCATTATTCGGAGACTATGTACTGCATGCAGAGACTATTCGTGCTATTCTGTACCTCATTATTCGGAGACTGTGTACTGCATGCAGACTGTTCTGCACCTTGTTTTCATCATCTGATGCATCTGATGATCTGATTAATGGGTATCTCCACAATATGTAACTGACCAACAACTGGTAGGAAGTGAGCCCATGACTCTCTTGTTTTTTGAAGTAAGGGTGTTTTTGAACCGCGAACTTATTGGTGGATACATTGCTGTGATTAATGTGGACATTGAATGTGGACAGTTTAGCGACTCAGCCTTCACTATCGTTCTGAGTAGCTTTCTGCCAAAAAGCTTTTTTTTTTTTTTGACTGCAAACTTGTCTGTGAATCTATCATTGTGATTAATGTGGACATCGTAGAGATTAAGCACCAATAAACATCCTTCTCTAATATAGCTATCTTTCTGAGCAGATGTCTGGCAAAAAGAGGGGGGGGAAAAGGCAAGAAGTACTAGTGTGGTCCACAAGAGTGGAAAGACATCCTAGCCAAAGACGAACCGTGGAGACCAGGGGAGTGGGGCCTCTTGATCCAAGATACTACCCCCACTAGAGCCTTTCAATTTTCCCACATGCAACGCGGATCGTCCACCAGCGCCTCCTTCCTTTCTTTCCCGATTTCCATCACCACCACCGACATGCCAGCCATTCTGAATCAGGACGTTGTGTCTTCCACATTAGACTTCTTTCTCCTTCGGAAAGTTAGGGTCATAGGCACATGGCCGAAGTCAATTTTTAGACCAGATATGGCCATCCGTTCATTGGAGTTCGACCCGGCAGAATGGGCTTGGACCCCAAATAACAGCAGCAGCATCAAGACAAGAACCCCAATCCAGGACTACACCRTCAAACTGGGATACAGACTGCTGYTGAAAACTAAAGATCCGGACCCCATTATCAAAAGTAGATGGCAAAAGCTGGTGGGCCAGGAGTCTGACAAAATTCAACAAATSCCATGGAAGAAATTYATGCGGATTAGACHGATTAASAWTAGAAGTCTGCAATGGTTGATAGCTTACTCAGCCTKACCAGTAAATCAWYGGCTACACACTAGACGGAGGGCGACCAACCCGGACAGCTCGGAGCTATGCACAGTCTGCACGGCRGGGGTGGTAGAAGATTTAGTTCATTGCTTGGTGCACTGTACCGAGGCGACTGAGTATTGGGCAAGAGCCTCGTCCCTTTGGGACTCCCTCTTCTCTTCCCCCTTCCCTGAACAACCCATCCAACTGCTCCTCCTCACTAACATTCCCGATSAGGCCCGAAAGGCGGAAAGGATCTGGTTCGAAMTCATCAGGAAAGTGACCCTCTGGGYTATATGGAAGGAAAGATGCAGCAGAACAATTGAAGGACTATCCAACCCAAGGGACAAGGTATGGATGGAGACCAAATCAATGATCCAGGCGGAGATCCTGTGCAGATGGYGGAGAATCAAGCAAACATGGCCTGAAGACGAAGATCAGCGGAAGAAGGAGAGGTGGAAATTCAGTAGGACTTGGCTGATMKCYGGCAAGGTTGCAGAAATCCGAGAGGACCGRGTTTGCTGGAAAGACTGGCATAATTCAAGTCSGGGAAGGGATGCTCGACAATAGACAACGCAGGAGGAAGAAACTATGACTTAAACGGTGGGAGATGACTGTAGGCTCACTGGTGAGCTTATCGGATCCCTYGGTCAACAGGTACAAACACCTCGGAACATGTGAAGGTACGGAARGGGGAAAAGGTCTGGTCTGAGCATACTAGAAAGGGAGCTACAGCAGAACAATCGAAGGTCAAGCCAACCCTCAGGGAAGGCACAGTCGGTGACTGAGGCGTGGTTACAAACTGAGAGCTCTTGCAGATGGGGGGAGGTCAAACCGTCGGAGACGGAGGCGGAGAATCGCAGGCAGACTGATAAGGGATGCTGTACAAGAACAGGCGGAACAAAGATGAGGGGCCTTGTTGCAGTACGACATGGTGGAGGGATCGGCACAACTCATCCCTAGAAAGGGGCGCATTTTAGGAACGACGCCAAGAATGGAGCAAGATCATAACGGTGCCAAGGGGAAAAAACTGCTCTCGAAAAGAGAAGGCCGAGGACAAGGCGGATGCTAATACAGAGACGTGGTGCACACAAGGAAACGGTTCTAGCACGGATCACAGACGGGGCCGGACGACAGGTCAACGAAGGGGGGGAGTGATGAAAGAGAAGACGCTATCTAAAACATCTAAGCGAGGGGAAGGGTTTAGGGTTTAGGGTTTAACAGAACTCAAAGGACGGGGGAAAGTTGTATGGGGATCAGGGGGGAGACAGCAACTAAAGACGGTACGATGGTGGGGGACAGCACGTGATGACAACAGCAAGGGAGGATCTCTTTCTAGGCATAAAAGTGATATCCGGCAGAGCTGTTTGAGCAGATCTGAGAGGGAAGAGTGTCCAGTGGCAAGCTGACAGTCAATCCTCCACTCAGGGTGGAGCAATCAATGCTGTTCAGGGGTCCTCCGGCCGGACGGGAGGAAGCGTGAGTTGTTTTGGGGTGATGTACTATATTTGGACTTGCCGGTGGAAAGGAACCGGACTGACGGTCCCCAGAATAGAAGGAGTCAGGACCATAAGGCCCTGTTAATATAATTAAAAAAAAAAAAAAAAAGAAGAAGAAGAAGAAGAAGAAGAAGAAGTACTAGTGTGGGCCGGAGGAGCAATTTCTTCAGTAATATCATGATGGCATGGCAGAAAACAGTTCACACAATAACCTTTTTCTTTTGAAGACTCGGGCAGGAGCCCTCGCTGGAGCCTTCCCGGGGGAGATAGGGTGTCTGCTCATACCAGCAGAGTGAAGAAGACAATCAAAGCGTCATACACTTGGAAGGTTACAAGAACCTAACGAGACGATGGCAGAAACATATGCACAGAAAAGAGATAGAAAATGAGGGATGGGAGACTGAGATGGTAAGGGAAAAATAGAAGAGACACAGAGCCATGAAACTTGCACTCAAAATGAAGTACATTCTGGCGTAGTCCCTGCAATCGTTTCATTCGCCTGCCAGTGGCGAAATCGTCCGGGGACGAGACGAGCGCATTCTGAGGTGTCCTTGCTACCTCCTTAAATACATACCATGAAGCTCACACAAAGATTTCCCTAGTACAAAGAAGACAAAGACACAGTAGCGAGGAGAGAGAAAGACAGGGGGGAGTGAGAGGGGGGAGGAGGAGAGAGAGAGAGAGAGAGAGAGAGAGAGAGAGAGAGAGAGAGAGAGAGAGAGAGAGAGAGAGAGAGAGAGAGAGAGAGAGAGANGAGAGAGAGAGAGAGAGAGAGAGAGAGAGAGAGAGAGAGAGAGAGAGAGAGAGAGAGAGAGAGAGAGAGAGAGAGAGAGAGAGAGAGAACGGAGATCCACCAGGCGGATAGATATGTTATGTACCCGATTAAACTTCAATCCACAATGAATTCACACGTTCCCATACACGCATGCAATTGCAGAGTTGACTCGAAGGAGGCAAATCCACACAAAACCGGAGAGAAGATATGCCTAGAGGAAGCTCGAAATACACAGAGAATTGAAAAACGAATTTCAATTCTGTAATCCCCCGTCCTCCTCCAAACAATCCAAGGTACTTGTTCCAAGAATCACAACCGTGTTTACAACCCCCCCGAACAACCAAAACAAAAGTTCGACGAAGTCTACAGGAGTCTTCTTCTTCCTCCTAGCCACCTTATACCCCTGGCTATGGCTGCCGTAGCAGCAGCAACCCCGCGGCTGTCACAACGTGCCAAACTGAACTAGCAATCCCAATGATAGCAGCGTCAGTTCAGCGCCCGCACGGAAGTGCAGCGCTGGAAGTTCTGATGAAGAGGGAGACAACAGATCCAGCACTTCGAAGAAGACAAAAACGAAGTTCCTCATGAGGAGGAACAACGGACATGGCTGCCAAGTGGAGAATGGCAGCGCCCAAACCCAACAACACAGTCCTGTGGAAGCTCTCGTGCAAAGCTGCTGAATAGCAGCAGTGCGATCTCCAACTCCTTGTCCCAGCTACAACAAGCTTCGTGACCTCAACCCTGTCCCCAACTACTCCCTCCATGACAATCTCCTTCACATTGATACTAAAGGCACTCGCTGACTTTGCATCCCTGACGCACGTGGTCTCCGTACCCAGCTCTTGGCAGAACACCACGATGCCAAGACTGCCGGACGTCTTGGGTTCCAGAAAACATTCGACACCATCTCCCGCTACTTTCACTGGCCTTCCCTACTCGCCGACGTCAAAGCATACATTCGCTCATGCCCCACATGTCAAGCCGTCAACCCCTCAAGCCTCGCCAAGCCCGACAAGCTACAATCATTGTCGATCCCCACCCACCGGTGGCAGTACATCTCCATGGACTTCGTCTACGGTCTCCCCAAGACTGACCGCGGACATGATTGCATCTATGTCATTATGAGTCGCTTGACTAAACGCGCCCACTTCATCCCTTGCACCACATCGCACAACGCCAAGGGCGTCACCATTCTCTTCTTTGACCATGTCGCACGCCATCACGGTCTCCCCGAAAACATCATCAGCGACTGTGACCCTCGCTTCCTTTCACAATTATGGAAACACCTCTTTAAAGCCTACGGAACCACTCTCAAGTATAACATTGCATTCCACCCACAGACCGATGGACAAACCGAGAAGCTGAACGATACTCTCCAGAGAATCCTGTGGAAGTATTGTCATCCACATCAACATAACTGGATCAGTTGCTCAACAACACTGTCTGTCCTTCCACTGGCATGTCTCCATTCTACCTTGACCTTGGCCATCACCCGCGCTCGCCCTCCGATTTCCTGCTCCCCTCGCAACTCAAACCCTCCACACCCTGCCCTTCCCTCAAT